CAGCTGTGCAAAGCCAAGGATCAAGGGCTGAAGTAGGGGGTGACCAGCTCCCTGGCTCAGGATTGGTTGTTCCTAGGTCCTGTCTGAATTTAAAGAAGCTTCAGGGGGTAGCCGAGTTAGTCTACAGGATAAACTTAAAAAACAATAAAAGGTGTGGTAGCGCTTTATAGATTAACAAAACATGTGGATGGTATCATGAGCTTTCGTGGGCACAGCTCACTAGGGGGGGAGGCTGCTGTGACCCAAGCAGCCAGTGATCCAAGTAGCAACGAAGGACAGTAACTCTGGGAAACATGCAGGCCATAGTGGATGGCTTTGCTGCAATGCAGTTCCCTAATGGTGGGGGGGGGGGGGAGGAAAAAAAGAGAAGGGGTTGGGGAAACAAGGAGCAGAGGGAATGAAAATATTAAAGGGAAAAACAAGTAGGCAGAGCTGGTGTCTATAAGCAATGGAAGATTGGATAGCTAAAAGGAAGCAGATAAGGATCAAAGGGAACTAACAGAAGAATCCACACAGAGAGCTGTTGGCATCTTCATTGAATGTTAGGTTGATAATGGCCCAGCCATCCACGGTTTCCATTGAGAAGATGATGATAGGAGAGAGAATTGAATTTGTGAATGAATTGTAATTCCAATGCCTCTCTGTGTATTTGACTAGTAGAACTGGTTTGTGAGCAGACAGCCACTTGGAGATCTTTTAAAGAGTGATTAGGTATTTAAGGTCCCTTGCAGGCTTCCACCTTCTGCACTCAAAGTGCCAGAATGAGGAAACTGCCTTGACAACTGCAAACGCAGCATTTTCCAGAGGTTCAAGAAGCAAAACAATTTCCCCCCTTCAGTGATATTTTCAGGTAGTGCCCAGGACAAAATCTCCCCACATCTCCACCTAGCTTTTTAAAGGGAAAAATATTAGTATTCCATAACTGAATTTTCACCATCACAGAAACATTTTGAGTTAGATTTTTCCCCTTCTCAAAACTTTTGAACTAGGAGTTAAATGGGGATCAGCTCACAGCAGCTGGAAGCATCAGAACATTTGTGTGGTGGGTGCCAGAATCTAAACTTAATCTCCTATTAAATGAAGGTTAGAAGCCATCATGGCTGTACAAATAACCCTAGTTTGACAATTAATCCACATGACTGAATCTCCAACTGCACAGAGATACTTTAAAACCATGCTGTGGCTTTGGGTCATTTCTAACTTGTGGATAATGTCAGCCTACTGAGGTCATTAACACAGCTCCCTGCAGCAGCTTGGTGTATGTTTCAGTCAGGTACCAACCTGCTTGGCTTGATTCTGTTTTGCTCAAATGGGATCACAGTATCAAATGGCATGCAAGGTACGCAGAACAAATGCAAAGCCTTTAATTTTCAATATAGCTTTTTATTTGGTCTCTTTTCAACATAGCTAGAATACTATGATGAATAAACAGAGTTAATGCATTAGTAAGAGAGGTAGCTTTAGATGAAAGAATCATGAAGCAGCAATAACAAAGTCCCTAGCACAATAATAACTGTCAACAACTCTCTCTCATATCCTTACAGACACACAGATAAATACACATTAATGCACATAAAACTACACGTATCATAGTATTGAAACAGCTGCAGCTCTGGGAAATTAACACTGCTCCCTTGAAGAGATGCCTTTCCTCCCACCTATGGATTTGAACTTTGAATCTGAAACAATTACTTTAGTCTCAAGAATCTCAGCTGCTAAGTGTGTCCTATTGATTTAATAAATATGCAGACAAAACAGAAGAAGTAGCTGCAATATTCATTGAGACATAACAGTAAACAGAGGGCTGTTTAATGACCCTAATAATGCATGAGACCTGGCCTTGGAGTCAGAGGAGCCCAGCTGTCAGGTAACAGGAATGTGTATATAGTGTTAGCAGATGCATTAGTGATACCAGAGACATCCTGCCCATTGGACATTTTGGACAGCTACTCCAGGTCCCATGCTTTGGGGGGCCCTGCAGCAGCTGCCTCTACTATCCTATGGACCATAAGATGGTCCCCCATTTTAGCTATGGCAGCGGGACCCAGGGAGGCCTGGGAGATTATCGGGGGGGGGGAGGGGAGGGCATGAGGGCCTAGTGCCAGGGCAGCAGCAGGTGTCAGGCCTTCCTTGCAACACTCACATGGCAGTGGAAAGTAGGTAACTCTGGCTTCAGCCCCAAAATGCTGCCCTGTATGATGCAGGGATTGGGGGAGCAAAGGGGAGTGGGCTGGGGATTGCTACTTCCTGTCGCTGTGGTGAAGCAGAGTGACCTGGCTAGAGGGATGGGTGGCAGGGTGGAGCAGGCTGATGGGCTGCTCCAGCCTCTGCTGTCATGGTGAGTGAATGTGGGGGGGGCCAACCCCTGCTGCCACCTCACGCTAGACCCTCTGGCGTTATGCTTATAAGAAGCACATGGCATCTCTTTCCGGGGGGAAGGCAATATGCCACCTTTATTGCAGCTACAGATACAAATCAGTATATGCATTCACACACACACAGGGTGCATCTACACAGCACCCTTCTGTTGGAATAAACTACGCAATTTACTAAGTGCAAATGGCATAGCTTATTCCGTGTCTAGGTTGAAAGAGCTTATTTTGAAATTTGGCACTGTGTGGATAGTGCCAAATTTCAAAATAAGGCACTAATCTGACGAATCCCTTAACCTTTGTGGAATGAGGGTTACAGGGCCGCCGGAACAGTGCGCCCGCTATTTTGGGAAATAGCGGGAGCATTTAAAGACACAGCGTTGCTATTTTGGGATACTTCCGGTACCATAACTGGTGTCATAGTTACCAGTATTACTGACCAACTAAGCTGGTTTCAAGGATGGCGCCGGGTTCTGTCAGGTGTGGTCTGGTGCTCCGAAATGGTCTTCACAGGACTACCCTAAAACTTCATGGCTACACATCCTGCTATTATGGTTGTAAGTCCCAACTTTAGTCTCTGGGTTTTGCAGTGTCATGCTGGAGTCATCTAATTGTTGGTTGGTGTTTACCTCAAGGCTGCTTCCATTGTTATGCTCCATCAGATCCCCAGAGTGACTGCAGCTGGTTTGTTTCATGCCTTTTCCTTTAGAGTAATCAGTTTTGCCCTTTTTTGGCCATCCTGAATTTGACCAATGCGTAAGTTCACATCTCCTTGTTAACCATTCTGGCCACCTGGTGCTGGAGTCTTATCCTTCTTGTCTTCCCACATCCTTGACTTACACAAAGGACAGTTCACTTCAGAGAAAGCAATTTCTCTTACAAAGGCACAAGCAGGATTTTTTACAGACTTACCAAGTTAACAAACAATTTTTAAATAATATTGAACAAACTTATAATACCTAATACAAAATATATTTTAATAGCTTGAAGTTATATTAGAACATAAGAATTCATGAAAAGGTTTTTTAGGAAAAAATTTACATAAGAATGGTTATACTAGGTCAGAACAAAGGTCCATCTAGCCCAGTATCCTGTCTGTGTTCAGTGGCCAATACCAGATGCCCCAGAGGGAATGAAGAGAACAGGTAATCCTCACTTGATCCCTCTCCTGTCATCCATTTCCAGCCTCTGACAAGCAGACGCTAGGGACACCATTTCTACCCATTCTGGCTAATAGCCATTGATGGACCAACCTCCATGAGAGCAGTTGCTCTAAAACAAAGCTCATGAAAGAAAATCCAAATAACTACATAAAACAAAGCTATAAAATGAAGCCTACTACATTTGTCAGTAATCCTCTGGCTCACGTAACTCAGGGAAGGGGCTTTGGGCAAGGGGTACAAATGGAAGCAAGTAGAGTGGATTGGGGCAGGAAGAGGCGAGGCAGGGAAGGTTTTCCCAGGATAATGGAAGACAAGATGAATGAGATAATACCTTTTATTCAACCATCTTCTGTAGTTGGGTGAGAGAGAAACTTTTAATCATATAGAAAAATTTCAGGACCTGAAAAAGAGCTCTGTATGTATACTCAAAAGCTCGTCTCTCTCATTAACAGAAGGTGGTTCAATAAAAGATTTTACCTCATCTATCTTGTCTGTCTCACTTCCTCTCAATATACTACAAAGAGCTACTGTTTTTATAAGAACAGGAAGTTATGTCTGTCATGGGTGAGACCTGCAATTGGCTTGTGATTATTGTTATAGAAAAGCTGTTAAAAACCAGATTGGTAAGAAAGAAAAACAGATAGACTAGGGCAGGAGTGTGGAAAATGGGAAAGTAATCAGTCGTTAAAAAAGATCCTGAAGACTACTTATCTGTAAGCACATAGTAGTCCCAGTGAGTTCAGTGGGATTATTTGCATGCTTAAAATTAAGTACATGCTTAAGAATTTTGATGGATTAGGTCCACCATGAACACACATGCATAAAACCCAATGCAAAAATAACAAAGAACCATGCACATCTTTGGGGAAATATTTTGAGATGTTCAGTTTCTTCAGCGCTTGACCTTTTCTTTAACTTGACCTCTTTAGAGAGAAAAGCTTGGAATGTGCCACTTTTCCTTTAACATGCCCCTGCTAAGATCAGCCCTCCTTAACCAAGTTTAAATGACTAGGCTGGAATATGCTGAACCTGAATAATCTTAAAACAAATTCTAAAATGCCTTAACGTTAGAAAAATCCTAATGTTCATGATGGATAAGGTGATCAATTTTAAATTGCCATCACTTCCATTTTTCTTCCAATGTGGCTTACATTGTTAATACTCAGCTAGCCCTGCAGACCAAGCCAGATTCATGGCTGCTAGCCCCAGCATAAAATTTCTGATAAGAAGTTCTGAGCAGAAATGTATTTTTCTCATTTGTACAACTCAAAAATGGTCAAAGTAGTTGAATGAACAAAGAAGAAACAAAGATCGGGCTGAGACCCAAACTAGAAACTTTTAAATCAAATGAAATGTGTGCAGATGAATGAAACAAAGGGTGTTGAAATGAATACTGGATCTCAGTTGGTAGTGATGGTGCATGCTGAGCTTATCTAAAGGGCATGACATATGGAAAATCTATTTTAGGTACACTTTTACATTAATGTTGTTGAATTCACACTAGGCACAGCCATAAGGCAGGTCAGAGCGTGCTGTGTGATGTAATATTAACAAGTTGGATGTTACCTACAGGCTATGTCTACACTACAAGCCTCTTCCGCAACAGGAAATGCAAATGGAACACTCATTTGCATATGTCACACTCTCGTGCATTTCCTCCTCAGATCCCTTTTGCGCAAGAGATTTTTGTGCAAAAAAAAGCTGCACAAAAGCCTTTTGTGCAAAAGGGATCCGAGGAGGAAATGCAAATGAGAGTGCGACATATGCAAGTGAGCATTCCATTTGCATTTCTTCTTGCAGAAGAGGTTCGTAGTGTAGACGTAACCCATAGGTGAGGAGTACTTGCCCTATACAAAAGCATTTAGTTATTCTGTATAAACAAATCTGCAAATGCAAAGTAGAGAGATCTAGCCCAATAGCACACAGGCACCCAAGGAAGCCATTGTAAGGACTAGTCCAAACATACTGGTCATTTAGCAGGCAGTAAATTAGAACACTAGCTGGAATTTCTAAAAATACAAGAAGAGACATGATGGGTGGAAACAGAATGAAAAAGGAGCAATGAGAAACGTCGGTACTCCTATTTTGGGATTTTATTTTAATTCCTCCTTTCTTCTCCTCATTTTCTCACTTTGGAAATAACTTATTCTGTTTGTTTTTAATCCTTAAGATACTTTATTTTTTAACTTTGCGATGGCTGCTCTTTCTAATTTTGTCTTGAAATCCTATAGCTCTTTCCCAGCTGGATCCCTGTTGTAGATCAACAGCAAGGGGAGGAATGGAAGGAAGGGAAACAACAACCAGTCTTATGAATGAATTTCATGGACAGATTATCCAGATCCATCATACATTCATTACTGAGAAACCTGATCAGCTAGATAGGAGGGAAGAAGCAGTTAGATAATCGTCATCTGTCTCTGTTCAACTAGACATTAGGTTTGTCCCTTATATGTCTGAAGCTGGTATCAGGTTTTTTATATCCTACGATTGAGTCTAGGTTGGCTCACACTTCCCTTTTCTTGATGTTACTTTCAGACCACGCCAGGTCACTGCTCCAAATGTTGAATCAGGTTTGCAAAGGAATGATCCAGGAGACAGATTAAGATGCTCTAGATTCTAGAAAAGAAAAAAAAAAAGAACAGAAAATCGTGTTGATTGTTTAAAGCAAGAAAAGGGAACTAACTGCTTAAAATAAAGCAGCAACTGCAACAAAAGACGCTCCCAGTCACATTATATTGAGTATCAGACTTATGCACAGACAAGCTACCATCTAGTTTGGTTTCCACCTTTATTTCCCTTGCTTACCAGGGAGCATACCTCAACTGGAAATCTCTGTGGCACCGACAGACATCCAATGCATGAATGTGGGATTTTAACCCAAGACCTAACAATAGGGGCTCCAGACTGTTAGCTCAAAGACTCTATAGGCTCAAACTATTATGAGGTCCAGCCATGAGAAGCAGATAGCACCTTAAGGAGATACGTTATCTGTTCATGTTTGGGTGCTAGTTTGCTAGATAAGCAACTGCTTATCTGTTGTCAGGTCTCCCGGTTTGTGCTTCACTATACTTTTGACATGAGTCTCCTAGGTGTCAGGTTTACTATTTTCTCCCCACAACAAGGACTCTTAAAGGGAAAGCCTTCTGGAGGCTAGGTTTCGTTTTTATGTTTTCTAACTAAAGAATGTGCATGCCTTGAGAATCTGTTTCTGAAAGAAGCTCAGAAGAGATTATTCAAAAGCTAATACTCATAACCATCTTACGTACCAGTTATTTCTCTTTTGATACACTCTCCCGCTGGAACGCCATCCTTTTCTAGAGATTCATAATAGTGGTGACAGTGGGGTTGCTGCTTTAACTTGATGAAGCATTTCATGTGTACAATATGTAAGCGGGCAAATGGTCCCACTATTGTGGGGAACTTTTCTGGCTTCTATGCTACCCTGGTAAAATAGACCAGCCAAAGGATCTGAGTCCCTGCTCCACTTCTTTTACCTAAAAGCCTCCCTAATTCTGAGGGCTCCCCTTCCACTCTCCTGAGTAGCAGAGTCCTCGAAATCCCAACAAGGCTGGGCCCAAGTTTTCTGTGGCTTAATCCCCGACCTTGTAGTCACTTAGGGCTCCAGAGTGGTCTCTTCCCACTGGATGATTTCTTGGCCCACTGATCATTACATACAGTTCAAAACGAATACAATTTATTAAACAGCAACTGATTAAAAAGAAAAGAATAAGGAAAAACGAGAAAGGTTAATAAGAACACACAGTCCTGCTCTGTAGCATGGGGACATCACAAACAGCAATCTGCAGAGTGTAAGGACAGTTCACAGTCTGTTCCTTATAGGTCCTGGGGCTCTCTCTCAGGCCCTGGCTGTGCTGCAGGGTGGACTGCAGGTTGAACACACTTGCTCTGGCAGTGACCACATGACTTCAGGCTCTAGGTGGCAGGACCCCTCTCCCAGTTGGGGTTACAATCCTTCTCCAAGACAGGCCTGCAGGGCCTCTTGGCTGGTGGCGTCTCCCTGCCCAGAGCCTCTTTCCCCCCCTTTGCTGGTCCCAGCTGCTCACCACCCCCAGCTCCAGACTATGCTACTTTGCCAGCCTTCAGCTCCTTGCGTTGCTCCTCTGACCCCTTTGGCTCTGATCGCTGCAGGTCTGCTTCTTAGCACAGGGTCTGCGCTCTGTGGGCTGTATGGGCCTCTGGCTCTGTCACTGCAAGTCTGCTCCTCACCACAGCTTGCTCTTCTTGCTGCTCTTTTAGCTCTCTCCTCTGACTCAGAGACCCAGAAAATCCCCGCTCACACAGGACCTGGCCTCCCAGTTTCCTCATTGGTCTTTCCAACCTGTCAATCAGGCTGACCTGGAATGTTGTCCTTGTGAGTCGTAGGGCCCTGATTTCTCATGGACCCTTCCCGTTTTGGTATTAGCCAACCAAAAACTCCCACTGAGTTTTAGTAAGGGGCTAACAGTGAGTAGTTACCAGCATTGGAGTTTGATTCCTGACTGGAACACCTAACTGAAAAGGGATCCTGACAACTCCAGTTGGCAATGACAACTGGGCCGTTAAATGTCTGGTTGGCCCAGGGCTAAGGCAGGCTTCCTACCCGCCCTGGCTCTATGCAGCTCCCACAAGTGGCCACCAGGTCCTTGCAGCCCCTACGTGCAGGGATGCTCAGCATTGTGCAAACACCCCAAGTGCTGCTCCTGCAGCTTCCATTGGCCAGGAACCACATCCAATGGGAGCTGCAGGAGTGGTGCCTGCTGGTGCAAGGGCAGCATGTGGAGACCCACTGTCTGATCATACATCTAGGGCCCACGGGGACCTGTTGGCCACTTCCTGGTAAGTATTGCCAGGACCTCCCCCACAACCCTCTACCCCCACCCAAAGCCTCCTCCTGCACCCCAAGCCCATTATTCCTGACCCCACGCCAAGCCCCAACTCTTAACTGGAGCGCTCACCCCTGCTTAACCAGTAACAAATACCAGCTGTCAGCTCTCCAGCAGCATGAATTCAAGTCAGAATAAAAATAAAACCAAAACCAGATAGTTAAAATGTTAATCAATTTTCTTTTTTAAAACAAATTAAATTAAATTGGAATTGATGGCGAGCTGTGTTAAGGCCTGTCACAAGGCTTGCTGCTTCCCGATCACTCTCTCATGGCTGGAGATCACCAGGGGCATCATAGGATTCATGGGGCCCTACATAATACTGTTAAACAGGTGCCCCTATGCCCGGCGGGGATAGGGGGTCGGGAGGGAAGAATGATGATTTTTTTTAGAGATGTGATTTTTATAATCAGGCGGGGGCCACACTCAAGTGAAAAACAAAATAAATAAATAAAACCTCACTGACATGGCCCCCCCGACTGAGAAACAGAAAGACACACTCCACAATCTACTAGGTGGGGCCCAGCCCTGTGGTCATGCAGCAGGGGAAGGCTGGAGTGCTGGTGCAGGCTTCCTGGTGGGGCCCAGCCCTGTGGTCATGCAGCAGGGGAAGGCTGGTGCAGGCTTCCCAATGCTAAGGGGGCCCCTGAACCTCAGGGACTGGATTCAGGCAAGGGCCCCAAGTTCCCCACCCCTGCTGTAGACCAACACCGTAAATTCAGTAGGTGACAGTACATACTTGGGGTTGGCAAATGCCTGTTAAATGGCTTCATTACCATTTGAATGGCTCTTTCACAGGTACTATGTCTGCTAATAGCTCTGGCAAGCGTTAAAGTTCAATAGATCTTCTCCAGAGGAAGCAGACACACCAAACAGGGACAGGAACAGGCTTTTGGATAGACATTAAGACCCAGGGGTGCTCCACATTTTCAGGTGCCCTTTTCCATGTATGAATAAGGACAGCCCTGGAGATCACTCTGCAGCACCCCACCATAGTTTTTGCCCTCTTTGAGACCCCTTGCATTCTGGACCCAGGTTTTGAGTTACCACCACCCAGGCCTGCTTTAACAGAAGCAGTTCACAACAATTCTTAACATCCCAAAATGACATTCACCACCACAACAGAAAAGTTCGTACTGAACTGTGGCTGAACTTTTCAGTTTGTATTGAACTATATCACCCCCAGAGCTCTTATTCTGTCCCACTCACTGCCAAGCCACCTAGCTCCTTTTAGTTGGAACTCAGCCTTCTGCTTCTGGCCTCCAGACCCAGTCAGTGTTTCCCACAGAAGGTTCCAGGCTGTGGCCTCCAAAATCCCCTGAGGTCAGGTGTTTCCTGCAGAAGCCTTTCACTTCCTTCAGTTTCCTGAGTTCTCCCTCTCTGCTTCCCTTGCACTCCCCCCTGCCCCTCCTCCAGCTCTTTGTGGGGAAAACACCAGTTTTCTCATGTGGCTCAGTCAGTCAACAGGGTGTATTACCCCAGTAATCCCAGGCCCTCTAACCTATAACAGGCAAGCCACATAAGGCTGACACACACAATAATCCATTACAATCATTTTAAAAGTTATATGCTGAACCAGTTCGCCCTCCTCATTTCCATTGAGGACTGAGTCCAGTGTTTTGGTTTATATACAGAACCAATCAGGGGGCAAGACATATTTAACAAACATTTGAATGCCAGCTTTATAAATACAGCACAAAATCCAATTAATTTTTATATTATTTTCAGTCTTTAGGAATGAGTGATCTTTAGTCATTTTCTTATTTCCAATTTTTAGTAGTTTCAGCCAATTGTGCACAAAAGATCTGCAGAAACACTTTGTTTCACTTTTTTTGTTATGTAATCTATCCATTTAAAGTTGATTTATTTAACAAAGTAAATTTTTAAAATGCTGATTGACTTGTGCATTTTTAAATTCAATTCCAATTTCCATTCAAAAGCAGCTTGAGAGAAATAATGGATAAAAAGTTACCTGGTAAATAAAAAACACTTTTAACAATGACAAAATGAACAAATTAAGACTCTGAGTATAGAGGAATATTCAGACTCTTAATTTCTGAAGGATGGCTACAAAGACCGTTCAATCAATATTTATGGCTATAATGTATCCATCTGATTTTTAAAAAGCCAGATCCAAATTAATGTAAAAGTTATATTAAATTGTAATTAATCATATCTACATGTGTGTGTGCCATGTTAGTAGCAGCAAACAACTCCTATCTCTTTCATTTCACCACACAATGGAGGCCAGGCCTGGGAAACTGTATACAGACTGGGAACAAATTAAAGATCTGATTTAGGAGTTATTGGGCAAAACAAACACTGGGGATTGTCTGCCCCATTCTTTACAGTTTGCCCTGATGGATTAACCTCAGTGTGGTCCCCCTGGGACTCCAGTCACAGCCCTAGACTCTTAACTGTTATTTGCCCCACCCAAGAGGCTGGGAGCTATAAACTATTTAATGGAGCCCGAGCCTGAGCCCAACTACTTTTGATTTCTGTAATGAGGTGGAGTGGCCTCCCTACCCACCTGAGAGTGAGGGACAACTACCCCATCCAAACAACAACCAGATAGTGCCCAGTTGTGCAAACAACTTCCTGGGTTTAAATAGAAAGCCCAATCAGAAGTCCTAGTGTTCCCTCCAAGCAAGGCCCAAGGAGGCCTCCCTCATATAACTGCAGTTTCATTGTTGCTCCACTTGGTTGGTTGATAGCAAATTGCTGGCTGAGGGC